ACAATCCATCAACTTCTGTTGCTTCCACTGCATAAGTTCCAATGGCTCTTTCTTTTTCCTTATTCCTTTATTGATCTAAAAATGCATCTTGGAGCTTTTATTCCTCTTACTCCAACAATGCTCAAATACCTACAAAATGAATACAAAACTATCAAACAATACACTTTATACTTGAAAATGCATTATACATAAACTAAACGTATTTATACATAAAGTTGGGTTATTCAACTGATATTAACAACCAAGAGTCGACAAGTGAAACAAAAAGTATATACAAAAATAACTACAATTTACACTTATCAAACATCCACGTGGACGTTACAACATCAAGATAACATCATCTACTGATCTCGAAACAGTCACAATTTTCTCGATCATAACTTTCGCTTTAAAATGGGTAAAAGTATTCTACACAGCGTGTATATCAGTGTTTTTCTTCAGCTCACAATTAATGAACTCAAGCTTCCCATCTTTGTCAACAGATGGCGAGCGGTACTCGATCTTCACAACTTTGCGATTATCGCCATAAGGTAGCAGGTCTTGCAATATGTAGTGCAGATCTTCAAGAGGGGTGTACTCGGTGAATTTAAATTATTGTGATGGTGTATTACCGGTAAAGTGGACATTTCCAACATTCCATTTTATGTTCATTCTGATTTTTGGTGTTTTGGTATGAAACAATATGCCAAGTGAGCTTATTTATAGTAGTTGAAGGCAAAAATGGACCTTATAAATCCTATCCTGTGACAGAGTGTAAACCAGAATTTCATTTCTGATTCCACCTAAATATGTACTAGAAATATATTTATGGTAAGTCCCCTGAGACTAAAAACAAGAACAGAAACAGAAACAGAAGCATACATAAAAACAAAAACAAAAACCTCATGTATTGAAAGATGATATTTTTGGTCAAACTACAAAATGACTATATTCCACAGCATAATACACTGACAAAATGACATATACAATAAAATGATACCTAACTACTTAAATGATGCAAAATAATTGTCGTCGGGCAAAATTGTCCTCTTTTTCGCACTCTAGAAATGCAAAACCAACCAAATACGTCTTCTCAGTCGACGTAACACCAACAATGGAAGCTTGTACTTGTTAGTCTTATATGTTGAATCGATTTTGAGCATATTAGGAAACATATTGAACAATTTAATGGAATCAGGATGAGTCCAATGAATATCTCTTACTGTTACTCCATCCTCACATCTTCGGTGCCTACAAACAAAATTGTTTTTGTCTAGAAGTTTCAAGAGGCGTTGCATTTAGGTTCAATCCCCCCTAAGCGCTAATTTGGATAAATAGCCCCTATTGTACACTTCCTTGATATTTGATGTATTCTCGGGTCTTTTGCGCTTCAAGGTTGCAAGTGTATTTTTGGACGGTACCAAATTTAATGTCATGTTGGAAACATATGTCTTCTCATTCGAAAGGAGCCAACATGCAATTAGATGACCGGCTAACCTTAGAATTAAATCATGATTGTGTAAATCACGTATCACATTAAATCTTCATTTCTTATTTGCCAACAAATAACCACGTAACTTAAATGGACATTCACATTTCCTTGAACCGGTGTCGCCACGTTTCAATTATTGGGTTCGATGTATACTTTTCCCACTTATCTCGCATGTCAAAGTCACAAATTCACATCTCTTATTTGTACCATTATCGGACCTCCCGATCACAACACCAAACCCTATTTTGGTGGCCTCTGTACGAATACAGTGCATCATGTCTTCATGTAATTCAAACTCTTCTTCAATTTCAAAATGGTCACGAATATCTACCGCCTTAGATCCGAGAGGAGATACGAGAGCTGAAATAACTTGAGACACATTAGATTTGAAAATGTTATTGGGATGCAATATACCTAATGTGATAAAAAAACATTAAACTAATTAACATACAATTGCTGGAAAATTAAGCACATCCACAAACTGGAAATACATTTCTGGTTAAGTTCAACTACTAACGGGAATTATATTTTTGGTATTAGCATAACCTTTTTCAAGATAAAAAACAGATTAATATGAAGAGTGATGATTGAAATGAATAAACTTTACCCTAAATTCTACTTTCTTGAGCTCCTTTGGATATGATGAACCACAAGAGTGAAGATTTGGAGTGAAAAAATGGATTGAGAATGGAAGGGTTTTTGAGAGGGTTTATGGAAAGATGAAGAAATGATTTTGATCACCCTTGTCCATGCTGGTTAATGTTTTAAGTAATATGCATTTTTCATAATACCGAAAGTATATTTCCGGTAATATATAAAATTACAAGGTGATAGAAAATGCAATCCTCCTGCTATACAAACCGAAAATACAATACTGGTTACAACATGAATTATAATTACGGTTCTATTTTTTCTTTTTGAATAGGGTGAAACCATATTTGGTCTGTTTGTGTGTGGTACATGGTGCGCACCGGAAATATATTTCCGGTTTCTAAGAGGCATTTTAGGAATTGCGTAGGGTTTTTCTTTTTACTATAGGGTGGAAAAAGAAATTCTCGTAAAATTTTGAAAGGAATTGGTTACTACATCCTATAATATTACTCATCCATCTTAGTTAAAATTCAAAAATACTTCTTTCACATGGTTCGATTTAGATGCACCCCAACACTATATTTCAGAACCACATTAAAGACAAGTAAAAAAATATGTTTGGATTATAAAATTCAGATGCACCATATGGATATTGGACTTTGAAAGTTTTTGCTTAAGTATTGCAATCAATTTTTTCTTCTTTCTTTTCTTATATTTCAAATAAAAAAATTCTCTCAAGAACACCATAGCTCTCATAAATTTAGATCCAATATTTTCTCTTGATAATTATTCTTGTACATTCAAACAAAGAAAGTCCATCAACATTTACTCCTCTTCATTTGAGACAAGCAACTTCATATCTTATATTTAGTAAGTTTCTCACTCATTCTTATTTTTTTCTCCTTTTATTGCATGCAATGAAATTTCTTAAATGATTCTAGTTTAAATTTATTAGGTTACATCCATTAGAAACTACTTAAGCTACATTATGTTACATCCTTCATTTGAATCATTCTGCATTGGGGTTGTACAGTGAATATTGGGGTTTCTCAGTGATAGGAGAAAATCCATATTTCAAAATTTGTTTTCATCTTAATGAAAATTCGAATTTCAAAATTTGAGCCCTAACATAGATAATAAAATTTGTATATTTTATTCTTGTTATTCTTTTTGTCATTGTGTTTGTGTTTGCTAATGATATATATTGTCTTGTGTGATTATAGAAAAATGGTTGACGAACAACAAAGGTACATATAGGGTCGTTTGACTTAGCATGCTTCAGTATGTATGGAGAGAGCCAAATCATTGTGAGTCATTGGAGAACCATCTCAGGCTGTTGATGTAGGTTAAGTGACTCTAAATCATTGTGTGAGTTTGAAAAACCATTTTCGGATAAAAACCTTTTGCAATAATGTTCACTTACAACTCAACAAATATTTTCAACCTCAATAAATACTAATCCTCCTAAGTAACATATGGCCTTTTACATTGACTTTGACTAATGTCTTTGACGTCAAAGATAAATGTGACTATATTTAAATTATTGAGGGACTAAAATGAATGTTTTTTATGTTAAACAACCGATATGAAGTCCAACAAAAAACAATGAAATGAAAAAAATATTAAACTTTATTTAATCTATTTTTTAACAATTAATTTCTTTAAGCTCACTTATGTTAAAATACACTATCAAAATAGTTTTTTTTTTTGGTAAAATTCCACTAATCGATCTCTCCATCCTATAAAAGATCTCTTAAAAATTAAAAGAATTCTTATACGTTTGTTCTTTCCATACATTATAATTTTTATTTTATTTTAAAGTTTAGTGTTGACTTGTTACCACACATGATGATATATAGTACTACTTTCTTGACAATTTGGGTTCAAATGTTGAGAAAGTGGCACTTGGTTACTTCTTTAACATGACTTAAGTTTTTCAAAATCCTTTTCATCCATACATACTCGTACACACTTGTTTGTTTCGTAGATTTCCATAAATTAAGAATCATATATGGACAATATTTGAGTTGGACATATTTTATAAAAGTCAAAATTTGATTCAACACATACTAGTTTAACAATGCAAAACAAAACAACACCAAAATAATTATGAAATAGAACCCAAAAAATGAATATTTTATTTTTGTTGGGACCAACCAATAAGTAAATAAATAAATGGAAACGAATACAATAATTAAATCCATATCTTTAAAAAAAAATTGAGTATAAATTACTCTACAAACTAATCATACTTTCTTTTTCATCTTAAAGAATAATCAACACGACATAACTAAAAACAGAAGAAATGAACCTATCTATCAATATCACAATAATAAAAACATTATCAGAGTTTGTTCTGCTGTCATTATAGTTCATAAGCTGTAATGTATAGCCAGCCTCATTTGTTGAATTCCCAAAAAAACCAACTAACGACAATGCCACATCACTACCGGCCCCACTTTTTGTACTATTTGTCGGTCGTGTTAATCACACACAACACATATAAACCTTTTTAGTATTTCATAGTTGAATTGTTTTTTTGTTTTTCTTCTAATCTTGTTTGTTCCACATTATTATACATGGAAGAAATAAAGGTGGTAGTAGGCCATGGGCCATGGCAATCCACATTCTTCACCCACCTTTTATTCTTTTGCTGACTCTTTCTTCTTTTCTTCTTCTTTACTTCTTCATTCATATCTTTTCATTTTCTTAACTTTTCTTTTTTTTTCTTCTTCTATTATCTTGGTTTTCCTCTTAAGGAAATAAGACTATTCTCTGGTATGTAATTTTGTTTCTTTTTGTTTGATGATTTTAGGTTGTTGGTGTTAGATTTTTCATGGTTTTTGCTAACTGAGAGTGTTGATTATTTGTGTGTGTTCTGAAGTTGTGTTGTTGATTTATGTTTTTAGTGGAGTAGAGGATTTGCTTCACTTGGATAATGGGTTCTGGTTTTTGGTTTAAAGCAATAATTAGCTTGAGGAATAGGAAGTCAAAAGATCGAAGATCAAAGAAAGCAAGGGTACAATGCACTTCTTTTCATTTTTAGTTTGTTTATCTAATCTTTGGAAAGGTTAAGTTGCATGAATTTCATACATTTAGTTGTAAATCTCTATCATGCATCATTTTCTGTCTTCAAATCATATAGTGTATCGTAGAATAGGCCTAACTCATCCCTACAAACTAGTTTGGATGGAGGGTGAGGATTGTCGTCACTTATAAACATATATTGATGCATAATATGGTGCGATATGAGACTCTTAATACCCTTCACACTCAGGATTGTACATCTGAAGTGTGGAAATAAATGATGGACAATGGTCCACCGGATCTTAAACCATACTCTTATATCATGTTACGAATTGTGATTTAGGCCTCGGTCATCTCTATAAGAACGACTTATAGGTTGAGAATGATCTCCATTATTAGAATATATTTTTGCACAACGGCCATTGTAACCAGAATGTTTCTCTCCATATTTGGCCACTCATTGGGACAGGGTACTTTAGCTCTGGAGAAGCTAAGTGCATTGAAGTCGAACAAGTCTCCAGGAAATGAGTCTAGTGAATTAGCAAATGGAAACCAAAATGAAAATCTTGCATCAGTTGAAACTACTGCTGCAACAAAGATCCAGACTGCATTCCGGGCTTATAAGGTTTGTTCAAGCTATTTTTTGCAGTAACCATGTTTCTGCTATACCGGCTTTCAAATTGCATTTTATAAGGGGTATGTGATTTATGAATACAGCCAACAAATGTAAAGGTAGGTTCATGTTGCTTATATACGATGGTACGAATCTGTGTCTCACTATCTTCTGCCGCTTTTTATTTTGCAATGCTAACTTTCAGCTATCTTTTCCAGGCTAGGAAGGCTCTACGACGATTGAAAGGTTTCACGAAACTGAAGAATTTAACACAAGGTTATTCTATTCAAAAGCAAGCCAGTACAACTATAACATATCTTCATTCATGGAGCAGAATACAGGGTGAAATTAGAGCTCGTCGAATCTGTATGGTCACAGAAGACAAGATCAGGCGGAAGAAGCAAGAATCTCAACTAAAACTTGAGGAAAAGCTTCATGATTTCGAGGTAATCTTTAGCTTGTCCTAATTATCTTTATATTTGTTTCCCTGGTCCTTTCCACTTTGCCAATAGTCCTTTCTGTGGTCCTCCCCGATTCAAGGGATTAGTTGTGTGCAGAGGATACCTAGTTTTTATCGGGAAAAAAGTCCATTCCTCCAAGGTTGACCTCTCACTATATGACCGTAGTTCAATTACATCGGACCGTCAAATCGTCTTCAATGACCGGTCCGGTTTTAAAAACATTGGATCAAATAATTTTGCAAGATGTGTTAGTTTGTTCCTTTTAATGCAGTTCTGTTACTCTTGTTCTAAGCGCTGTATATAACACATTACAGGTTGAATGGTCCGGCGGCCCTGAAACTGCGGAGGAAACCCTTGGTAGGATACATCAGAGAGGAGAAGCAGCAGTTAAGCGTGAAAGAGCCATGGCTTATGCCTTTTCTCATCAGGTAAGTCAATCTTGGGAATTTCTAGTTATTGTCTTCTTTTCTATGAGGCACAGACACCAGATACAACACTGACACGTCGACACTGCTAATAGTTTAAAAACATGAATAAATTGAACGTAATCACAAATATTAGTCGACACAGACACGGACACACGCCTTGTTTCAGAAGTCGATACTATAAAGCTTATTTCTCACGTAATCCACTGAAAATAAAATGCATATTTCGTGAAATATTTAGTGGAGAGCAAACTCTAGTCAGAGCCAAGTACTAGGCAGTTACGAGCTCGGCAGAGCTAACTGGGGTTGGAGCTGGAAGGAACGCTGGATCGCCGCTCGTCCATGGGAAAGCCGTGTCGCTAGCATTAGCCCGAAGAAAACTCAAAATAAACTATCATTCAAGGTTCAAAAGGATAAAAAAACATCAGCATCTAAAACTCCGGTTTCGGTAACACCTCCTTCCTCCAATGCAAAAGGCACTCCTCCTCCTAAAGGGAGTAGTACCAAAGGCAGGAGATTGTCTTTTCCAACCACAGAGAAAGAGAAAAATGTGGCTGAAGAAGGAGTGAATTGAGTATTCAACAATGGTTCCTAAGAAGAAAAGCTCAATTTTTCAAGTATAAAGCCTTTATTTATTCATTGGATTGCTTCCTATTTGTGCATATTTTGGTGTGATTTGTTGATTGATTCTGTTTTCTTTTTCCTCACATTTTGTCAATCTTGTATATTCAAAGAAGAGACAGATTAAATTGTAGATAGAACAATTTTTTTTTTTACCTTATATTATAAAATTCCTATGAAGTGATCATGTTTATTTCTTTATGGTTTGTTATTTACCTCTAATTTTCCAATATTCAGTCAACACATGTTTTCTCTGTATATCTCTATTCTCATTTTGTCACAACATATTATATTTATCAAACAACTATTTCTATTTCATTCCATCTCAATTTGAATGTATGGGGTGGTGTACATAAAACACTTCCTTTTATAGTTATTTTTTCAACTTATAGCTTGTACTTAAAATAATATAATTTTTTCTAGAGCTTATATAGTTTATTTTTTTATTTATAATTTTTTATAAATTAATTTGAGTAAATTAAAAAAATTATTTTCAATTTATCATGTTTTCTTAATTAAAAAAATTAAATATTCATTAAACATATTTTTTAATGTCATATCAATTCTAGTTTTTAAACTGCAGATTATTTATCGAAGTTTTAAAATTAAGTACTTCTAACATTCACTTTCAATAAATATGACTAATGCAATCAAATTATCTTATAATATAGTTGTTTTTAAATAAAAAATTTAAACAATTTTATCTTTCAGAAACTTCTTTCAGTAATAGCAACCATAATATATAATTTCAATAATATTTTATAATAATTGATCCTACATGTGATCAGAACTTGAAAATTGGTCGAAGGATGACGTCTGATTTGTTAGAAAGTTGAGGAGAAAGGAGAATTGTACTTGCAAGACACTCCGAAGATCAAGTAAGAATGAGTGCAAAGAGATACAAACAAGATATTAGAGTTTAAAGTTTGAATATTGGATACTTGGCCCTCACAAGTGTGAGGTTTATATAGTGCCTCCGGCGCGTAGCCATTGGTTCCTATTGTTGCGCATAGATATCAGGTTCGCAAAAATAGGTATTTGTCAGGACCTGGTCAAAACGGACAGTCGTGCTCGTAACTAACCATTGGCTGGCAATGGTGAGATGACAGGCAGACACGTTGTGAGTGCTGGTCTAATTGTCTGCTGGACGTGTAGCGAGCAGATCTGGGGATGACCGTCGAGGGGGGTGGGAGCGTGATTTGAGTGGCGTTGGTCTTGACATTCTAGGAGGTAGTCGGATTGAGTCAATTCTAGTCATTGAGTCAGCCCAGAACAATAATATATTGTCAATAATATTCTATAATAGATAAATATTGTTGCACCCCAAAATTTACCCTCCTAATTTCTTTTATCTGACTTAGACTTTTGCATTCAACTGCATATATTCCATTAGGTCACTAACATGGCATATATTTCATTCAATAAAGCGCTTAAGGTTCAATGTTCAGTGGGCATGTGATGCTAGAGTTTTCATAGTATTTCAAGGTGTACAGGACAAGACATGTTTTTTTGTGGTAGGTCAAGATTTTCACTACTTACGAGGATTGTGTTCTCAACTAAATTTCTCATTATCATGGATTAAGATGTGTTTTCATTATGTTGGCAAGCACCCGTGATTTAGGGTTGCGTTGACCATTATTTGGGTTTCCCTTTAATCTTGGGAGTTACTCATTAATCAAGACAACATTCCATCTTCATCCGCTTGTAATACGAGTTATGTGCTCTAGACTTTGTTCAATAGTGGGTATGAATTGAGAACGGATATTGAATCACTTCGGATAGTATGATGTAGTGGGTCACATCTTTGACATGATGAAGCTTTCAAGAAGAATTAGTTATCAACTGTGCAAAATCCAAAGGCAAATTAAGGATAGAAATCATTCATTTATTTGGAAAAGATCATTGCATTCAACATAATTCAAAGTTCTGTTTTGCAAAGTATTCATAAGGAGTATGTATAGAATCAAGGTTTTCAGGACAATTCTATTCGAGTACCGTCAAAGTTCCACAATTTCATTCAAGTGAATATTTACTATTTACTTCACCATGACCATTATGATATTGTTCAAGCACATAACTATCACAAAACTACATCGTTCAATTTCAAGTCAATTTCAAGTCAATTCAAACATTACAAGTTTTAATCAAAAAAAAAAGTTACATCACCAATCGGTACAAGATTCTTCAAGCTCGAGATCACATTATACAAAGAGAATCATATGAAAGTATTACTAAGCCTAAGCTAAATATCCATGCTTCCATCTTCATGCTCCTAAACACTTGCCAACTTGCTTCAACTTCATGTTAAGAAGTCAATGGCCATGTACAGACCTGCAACACACACAAATCGAACCTTATGTCATGATGAGCATAAATATTCAAAGGTCCGAAAGAGGTTGCGCATAAACCCATATCAAATCCAATCGAATATAAAGAACACAACCTCATGAATACTAGGGGAAACAACATCTACAAGTTCAGATTCAAGACCACACAATGCCATTATCACAAAACCTCAAAACAGCCCTGCACTCACACTTACCTACATGTTTTGAGCTTCAAACATACGCAGCCACATACTGCAAGTGGCTTACCAATATGTGGTGTTTGTAAACCAACTACTTCCATTTTATTGTCCTATACAACAAATAGATCACATAAGTCCTACAGCTTGTATAAACAAATCAGCAGAATGCAAAAGCAGAGGAATTAAACTCAGGCTTCAAAATAAGAAAAAGAGAAGAACCAAAGCCATAATAGAGAAATCGCAGAAAAATGGTTAAATAAGAATGGGGGAATGGTTAGTAGTACTAACCATACTGAAAGTAATGCTGATTCAGTTATTGCACAAGTAAATAATTGTCTTCCTCATTTTTGCAAAGAGATTCAAAATTCCAAGGCCTCGTTTCTCGACGCTTGTCAGCAGTACAACCACAAGAAAGAAGTAGAATTGAGTTATATCAGTAAAAGGAGAGAAGAAGTTCCTTCTATTTTAGCTTAAGGAGAAAGTATTGGACAGAAGCAAAGGTGCATAAAATCAAAATCCAGCTAATGCAAAGAACTGCATTTATTTGCACTTGCCACGGGACTCTTGGGTTAAAGGTTGTAGTGAATATAATGGAAGATTACATAATCTTGGGCGGAGATGACCGGGACCCTTCTGAAATCTCTATTAAAGCACCTCCTACTGCCATCCTAGCAAGGGTCTTGGTGATGAATACAAATTCACTTGCCCAATTAGCATCAGATCCATCGACTAATCAACTGCTTTAGACGACATCTATTCCAAAATAGAAAAGTCATAATTAAACCAAAAGACCAGCTCTTTCTAACTACCTTGCATCAGTAGAAGTATCAGAAAATCAGACTGATCAGATAAAAGAGAATAAAAAAATCATAAATTGAATTTAGAAATTCCAACATATGTAACAGAATTTTTCAGCCAACTAATTGTTTCTAACAGTTTTTTTTAACTTCTAACTTCCCTGTAACTGTCATAACCGAATTCTTCACCATTAACTAAATCGACTCAGTGAGTCAACTAACTCTAACTAATTTCTAACTACCTTCTAACAACCATAACAGAATTTTTGAGATCCTAACTTCCTCTTGTTAGAACATAGTTTGATTCTACAACCCTCAATTAGAGTTTTGATGATAACAAAATAGAAGAATAAATAAATTGTAAGATTTATATATAAGACATATATGCTACTTAAAATTATGTTTTGTGTTTACAGAAACTCTGATGGAATCAGCATCAGAAGATCAGTATCAACATTAGCATCAGAAGATATGTCAGCATCAGAAGATCAAATAACATGTGCTACACGCTGAAGCTACCAGATCATACACTGAAGCCTGATGAACAGAATCTGCGCATAAAAATACTCTGACTCTGATCAAGATCCTAACCAAGTCATCAGCACTCAGAAGCGTCAGCATAAAGGAAAGAACACTCTGATTACCATAAGCAGAGAACACTCTGAAGCGTTACTAAGCATTCAAGACAGATTATTTACCAACGGCTTTATTCCAAGACATGATCTTCTCAAAAAGGAAAGAACGTTATTAGCATTGAAATGGCTTTATGGACAACAACGTATCTCTTCCTAGGCTATATAAACAAGTCAGTGTGAGAAAAGAAGAGGCTAATAACCTACACGCATATACACGCCTAAGCTAATCACCTTCACGCATGCTCTCATTTTTGCTAAAGCTTTCAACCTCGCCTACTCAAAAGCATTAGCAGTCCAGTTTCATTCTAAGCTTAATATTGTGTATTATCACAGTTGTGATATATAGTTTTATTAGAAAACATCAAACACACTTTTGTTCAATTATATGTAAGAGAATTTCCTTGAGATAAACTGGTCTGTGGTTAGACTCAAGAAGGCTTTAACAGTTGTTAAAGCAGTTGTGTAATCAGTTAATTATAGTGGATTAAGACCTCGTTGGAGAGAGGCGAAATCACCTTGACGGGTGGACTGGAGTAGTTTGAGATCAAACGAACCAGGATAAAAATATAGTGTTGTCTACACATTTGTTTCAAGTTTTACAATTCAACCCCCCTTCTTGTGTTTTTCACATCTTCACTTCTAACCTCCTAACTGTTTCTAACATAATTTCAACAACCCCCTAACCTTCTCAAAACTAACCACCATAACAGAAATCCAACTGTGCCAACTGTCATAGCTTCTAGCCATTAACAGAATTACAAAAAGCCCTAACTGATTTTCTATCAATCTAACAGACTACAAAAACAAAAACTCACCTTGTTTGAGTTCATTATTGAAACTCCCAGAAGAATCATAACAGAAAACATCACAAAATTCTCTCTTTCTTCTCCTCTCATCATCAGCTTCATTCTTGAATCGTTGGAGGAATCAACAAAAAGAGCTCTCATCTTCTCTCTACTTTCTTCTTCAATCTTCAACCAAAGATTCTCTCTGC